GAAATTTGCGGTCTTGGGGATCTACATAAAATTTCCGATACATTTTTGTTATATCAGCTGTGAGAACATGACTTTATAACCAAAATGAAAGCAACTCCTTTCGAGGACTTTGCAGATGCGCAAAAATTACACTCAAGTTTGTAGTTCAGTTGTCTGGACGCAGTATGCGCGATGAGGTTGATTTGAGTCAAAACTATCTACAGGTTGTATATATTCTTGCATGAAATCAGAATACAATTTTGTTTGATCGGGTAAACGTCAACGACGCTCTATTTGCAAAAACCGTTGCTTGGCAATTTCCACTGAAATTCCCAATTTTTGGGTAGACGTTGATCTTGAACTCGCCCATTCTCGAGAAAAGCAGAATTTTCACTGAAGTGGAGATCACGTTCTTCCTCTTCAGTTGTGTACTGGTTCTGGAAAGTATTTGATTTCCCAAAACATTTTCAGATTTTCATTCAGCTGTCGGGACTGCGAGATTTGCACATAAAAAGTGTAGTTGTAAGTAGGCGTGGCAGTTCAGGTCTCAGTGATAATTTTGGTTTTAAAAACAATTGGTCAGCCAAATCAATTCAATTCAATTGTCTTGGTAACATCAAATTGCAATGACCATTCGTCACCTGACAAACGTGAGCGAATGGTCGTCGAGACAGAGAATTGAAGTTTTCTTCTAAAATCTCCTATATTAGAATCTTCAAAATGTTGACATTTTCGCTGAAGTTGTAATTTTTTAGCCATAGTCTCTGTATAAACTTCATTTCCGAGCCAGAATCAATCAAGGCACTTGACGGATCGAACACTCTGTACTTATCCTTGGCAAGAACAATAGAGATTGGGATAAGTGCTCAATTTGATTTACAAGAAAGACATGCGACTACTCGTTTGAAGCAATGAGGTTGGTCGTTTGTCTGTTCTGGATTTAGTTGAAAAGTATCTTGTGATTCACTCCTGCGATGTAACAAAGAATGGTTTAACCCGCGATAAGTCCCATGGCGAAATTTCGAATAACAGTCAGCTCCGATGGGCCATTATGATGGCAGCTTAAACATAGCGCTGCCTGTTTGACCCATACAAAGGGCACGATCCTAAATAGTGATCTGTAGAATCACATTTTATACAACTGCATCTAGCCGCTAGAAATGCCTTATTGCGGGGGTGATTTAGTTTTTCTGGAATCCTATCATACTACTTAAACTTCTGGCCTGGCAATGCGCTGCATTCTAGAAACTGACAATGCCTACCTAATATGTTGTAAAAATTACCCCAATTTGGAAACTGCTTAGGGTGCTGACAACGATCATAAGCATGTTTTGAACCTATATTGACCTTTTACAAGCTGAGATGAATTTAAATGGCTTAAAAGGCATTTTATTCGGTGCCAAGAGAGTGAGCCACGCAACGCTGCCACTGTATCAGTATCTTGTCGAAGGGATGAAGAATCAGGTTTCCTCATGTGAGAAATCGCGAAAAGGTAAGATACATGGTCGAGTAATATCAACAGTTTTTTATTGTATCGTTTTTCAAGGCGCCCCAAAGATAGTTTGGTCATGTCAGCAAGGAGATGAAAGGTCAACCAAACTGTAAGGAAAATGCGTTTGAGACATGTTTTGAAACCTCTACAACAGTTTTAGACTAACTGCGAAATTTTTTGACGTAAAACTGGGGTACAGCAATCCTGCGTTTTCTGAATAGCTTTTAAGACTTACATACATACATATGTAGGTTAAATAAATCACACTTCTATAACTAGATTTAACCAGACCTTTTATTAGTATTATTTGCGTAAGATCAAATAATATGTGAACGAAAAAATGCAAGTTGAGAAAACTGAATCCCTTGTGATTCCTCGTAGCCGAGTTTTTAATGTTCAGGATAGCCGTCCTGCTACGGTCGCCAATGTTTCATCCGCTGCGTAATGAGAGGCAGCCAAAGGTGGTATTTGCTAGTGCACTATAGGAAATTTGACCGCTTTTCTGGCCAAAAACCATTTTTTGAAATTTCAAAAATTAAAATCATTTTAGCTGAATTGCATTCACATTAGCATTTTGCAGTGCAATTTTGGTTAGTTTTTTAGTTAATATCTGATTTTGCAGTTGTGAGCGGTGCCACACCCATAATTTTTTCACATCTGAAAGCTATTGACCATATGAACTCAAATCAAAAAATAGAATCGAAATATCTTGCTTAGTTTTTGAGTTATCATATGATCTTGAGGTTGTGGCGGTGCCACGCACACAATTTTTTTCACATCTGAAATCTATTGACCATATGAACTCAAATCAAAAAACATAATCAAAATATCTTGCTTAGTTTTTGAGATATTACTTTTGGCGAGAAAAACGATCAAATTCCCTATAGTGCAGTTGTTGTATGTATTTGTATTTAGTGGCGCATTTACAAAAATATATGAGCATTCAGAGCAAAGGCGTTGAGAACACCTGTGTTAGACTATAAGATAAGGTTATAGAATATTGTGACAAAGTGTTTGCCCACAATGTGTTGGTTATGATGTACCGTTGCGGCAAGTTGCTGCCCACAACGGCCGGTCACTCGGTAGGTGCCTCTGCAGTCGTGTAGCGATCAGAGTACCGATCGAGACCAGGTGGTGGCCACGATCAGTGACAATGAAACTGCAAAACTTCTTCTAGTAAGCTGATAGCCGGGTCGTGGCTCCAGCTAGTAAGATGAATGTGCAAGAGGTTACCACTGTGGCACGTCGCTGCTCACGGATTAGTAGGTTCTGGAAAGCTCGTTGCGGCAAGTTGCTGCCCATAACGATCGGTCACCTTGTGAACGCCTCTGCAGTGATGCAGAGTCGGACCGAGGCCGGATGGGAGCCACGGTCAGTGTCGATGGTGCTACCGACCTTCCTCTCGTAAGGTAATAGCATGGTCTTAGCTTCAGCTATACTGTCGAGGCGGTTGACAAAGATGAAAACACCCGACTCAGAAAGTGCCTTTATTATTAGGCTGTCGACCCAGAACTAATTTACATAAGAGAGTGAGAGAGCTTAATCGTAACCCTAATTCGCACAAATCACGACCGTCGATTAGCACCACTGCTGCCAATTTGGATTTTTCCCGTCAAAACGGGCGGGAATTCTGGCTGTTTTAGAAATTCATTTGGATTGTTTTGTGGATGCGGGAAAGCGACTTTTTTTTTTTGCTCATCTGCAATGAAGTAGGAGAAAAGGAATTGGTCTTCGGTAAAATTTTTATTCTGACGACCTTTTTTTTGCCTCTCTTTTGATTTTAGTGGACTTTTTAAATATTTTTTTTTGCTTTTTCTCCCCACTTCCCGCCCAAAACAGCTTTTTTTGTTGGTTAAAAGTTGGCAGCAGTGATTAGTAACCGACGTAAGACTTCTTGTGCCGTCCGTCGTCGAGCTCTTAGCTCAGATCACCGTTGTATATTTAACTTAAATATGTATATGTATTTTGCTTTTGGTTATATAAAAGTCAAAAAGTCTTGCGGTATTTTCGCTAGTTGGCGCTGAAAGCGCGTAGTTCTTGTTTTATTCGTCGCATACTATACCTTTTTGGAAAGCTCATTTCACGCTGCATATTTTACAGTACTAGTACGATAAAGGCAAAAATGCATCTCAAGCCGCCAATAAAATTTGTGCAGTTTATGGACCCGATACAGTTTTCATTTCCACCGCACAACGATGGTATCAACGATTTCGTTCTGGTGTAGAAGTGGCCGAAGATGCGCCACGCTCCGAAAGGCCTGTCGTCGAAAATTGCGATAAAATCGCTGAATTGGTCGAAAGAGACCGGCATAGTAGCACCCGTAACATCGGTCAAGAGCTGGGCATGAGTCTTCAAACCGTTATAAACCATTTGAAGAAGCTTGGAGTGCCACACGAATTGACGCAAAAAAACATCTTTGACCGTATCGACGCATCCGAATCGCTTCTAAATCGCAACAAAATCGACCCGTTTTTGAAGAGTATGGTGACTGCTGATGAAAAGTGGGTCACTTTCGATAACGTAAGGCGCAAGCGGTCGTGGTCAAAAAGCAGTGAAGCGGCCCAGACGGTGGCCAAGCCTGGATTGACGGCCAGAAAGGTTCTTCTGTGTGTTTGGTGGGATTGGCATGGAATTATCCACTTGAGCTGCTCCCCTATGGCCAAACGCTCAATTCGGACCTGTACTGCCAACAACTGGACCGCTTGAAGACAGCACTCATGCAGAAGAGGCCAATTTTGATCAACAGAGGCCGAATTGTCTTCCACCAGGACAACGCCAGGCCACACACATCTTAAGTGACGCGCCAGAAGCTCCGGGTGCTCGGTAGTCTGAAGTTGGCCACGAGAGAGTCCTGTGAAAATTGGCTCTCCCCGGTTTGTTGCCAATAGGGAAGCGAGCTTCTATGAGAGGGGCATTATGAAGTTGGCATCTCGTTGGGAACGCGTCATCGAACAAAACGGCGCATATTTGACTTGAATCGCATTATTGTAACCAATTGTATGAACACTTGATAATTCAATAAAAATACCGCAAGACTTTTTTGACAACCTAATATTTGGTTGGGTTATGCATAGCAGGATTTACTGCTTTATTTGTGGATCATAATGCTTTACAATAGAGGAAAATATTTTGGCATACAATTTCAACTAAAATAAATAGGCAAGCTTGAACACTTTATAAATATGTATGTAATACATTGTATATTGATATTAAGGGTGGTATCTTCGCTTATCAAAACTTACCTATTAAGCTATTTAATTTAAATATTTTCGGTAAATATACTTTCCTCTCAGCCTTTATTTTGCTTTATAGAGCATCGATTACCAAAAGTGAAATTGTTACTTAAAAGAAATGTTCCTTAAAGTTTATAAAAAAAGAAATTCCACCTACACATTTTTTCTCTTACTTAAAAGAGGTATAAGGTAACCTTCTCAAATTGGTGTTTCGCATATGTAAATACATATGTATGTATATCGTTTAGCGATTCACTAGTTTTGCACAATAAATAATAACAAACATGTCAAACATATTAAATTTGGACACCTTTATTATAGATAAGCTGCCAATTTTATAAAATTAATACGGTATCTAACAAAAATATTTAATTAATTATCTTGTAAATGGACGGACAAAGCAGCAATGCATATTTTAGAATCTTTATGCTATATATCTGTTTGAATTCCTCCTCGTATTGGAAAATTCGAAGCTCCAGGTTTCTGAGGTCGGCGTGGACGACTTGGCGGCTCAGATGTAAAATTAGATGGGCATTGTGTCGAAGCGATAGGTCCGTGGTCCTGAAAATAGTCATCTTCGTGTTCATTGACCTCCCTATTAACGATTTCATTAAGCCGCTTGTATCTCTCTCGCCGTGCCTCTACCATGTAAAGTATACCAGCGGGCATTAGCAGCACAGCACCAACCACGCCCAAAGCAAAAGACCAGCCCATGTCATTGTTTTGCCAGCCAGGCATCCAATCGCGAGAATCTCCCTTGGCCCCAAATATTATAACTGCAATAAATCCAAAAACTGAGCCCACAATATGGCATGATCCAATTGCCAGGAGCAGACCAATGTATCGGTCATCATCTCGTAAAGTGCGAAGAAGTGTTGCAGTGAGTGGTACGACAATGATGCACATAACAAAGCAAAGCGTGGCTAAAAGTTGAACCAGTATGTAGAAATCGGGCAAGAGGAAGTCGTGTATAATATAATATTCCTCTTCAAAGACCCACAAGCATCCGGTAAAACGATTGTCGTAAAATCGATGTATGTCCTGGAAGTTGTTAAAACAAACTTCCCACAGGCCTAGATGTATAAATCGCGGATTATTTAAATGACCGTCTGTAACCAACCAATAGGGCGTTAAAAACGCGATTACAAATAGTATAATGGAAAAGACCGATAAGCTTAGCGAAACTTGAGTGCTGTAGTTAGATTCCCGCATTTCTTCGTTTATTATGTTTGACTAACCAATTAAAGAGAGAATTGGCTTGCAAACACGCCCAACAGTGTGACCAATATATTCAAATTACATTTAAAGCCCTACACAAAGATTTGTTGGTCAAGATAACGACATTCGTTTAGCTCTGATATCGAAACGATGAAGAAGAGAACACAGAAGGAATTGTTATATATGTGCTCAAATATCAATAGCAGTCTAAGGAACGAACATGACACAAATGATTAAATATATACTTACGTCCCTTGAACTGGCTACCAAATTAACCAACTTTGGCCAGACGTTTTAAAATTGAACTCTAGGCCAGTTTTAAGTTAACTAGATTTGTTAAACTATAGCTAACAGGTGGAAGAAAGTGTTTGAACCTCTAGAGCAGGTATACTCAACGACAATGCTCTAAGTGCTCATTCTTTTTATACCCGTTACTCGTAGAGTAAAAGGTTCACAGGAACTATAGCAGATACAAACGAATCCTAGAAAAATGAAATACAGTCCACTTAATTCGCCAACATAACAAATTTTTGGTCCTGCGTTTGAATTCGAGTTTATTTGTGAATAATAAAAGACAAACTAGCCGCCGTCATGAACTCTGTACTGCATCGGACAATTCAACAACGTCGTGCCTGCAAGGGGCAAACAACTCGTAACCTTAACAGTGCTTTGGAGTTTTCGCAGGAATGTGATAATGTGGAAACATTGCAACTGAAGCTGGATCGTCTTGTAGCCACCTTCAACCACTTTATGGACCTCTCCGATGATTTAGTGGTATATAACCAGGAGGAGGGATATGAAGACCCTGGATTGGATATACCTGAGTAAGAGGACAAGTTTTACAGAGCGCATGCCATCTTTATTAAAGCCATAAATGAGATGGATGGTCAAGATCATGGACCAGACCAGTCAAACATTTTGCTATCAAGTACATTGGAACGTCTATTTGAGGGACAAAATCAACTTCTGGAACGAATGAATACCTCATCGGGAGCAGCTGATTTAAGGTTTGTGAAAATTCGAATTCCCACATTTTCTGGCATATTTAGTGATTTGTTCTTAAGCTCAGTAAATAATAACGAAAAGCTTTCCCAGTGCCAAAAGTTTCATTATCTGAAATCTTATTTAGATGGGGAAGCACTTTCCTTAACTAAACATAGTGCCGTTACTAATGATAACTACCGAGATGCGTGGAAAAAATTGGAAAATCGTTATAACAAGAAAACGCTAATCGCTCGACCATTTGTTCAGAATTTTCTATCGTTGCCAACCGCTAACAATTTGAATATCGCAGAGTTACGTAAGGTAATTGACTCTGCCGACGAATGTATTCGAGGCCTACACGCGCTGAACTGTGACAACCGCAATGTGTGGCTAATTTATATTTTGCTATCCAAACTAGTTCCCGAAATCAAACAAGCTTGGGCAAACTGCAGTGTGTCGTCCAAGGAAGACGTCACCATACATGATATATTCGCTTTTCTTTTTGCGCATTGTGATACTTTGGAGTCTTGTCAAAATATACACGTAATGCAACCCCCAATACCAGCCCAGAGTAGATGCCGCCAAGCCGCTTATCATGCAAGATCGATTCTGTTGGCCTCCGCCCATATGTCTGCGGCTGAGGTTAATATATTTTCTTCGATTGATCCTGATGTTGGTATGAATAGTGATGCTGTCAGCCATCATACTGTAGAGACGGCCAACAATCAAGCCCTACTGCCAACTATTCTAGCCAATGTAATTGACACATGTGGCAAAAAGACCTCATGTAGGATATTGCTTGATACTGGATCAACAATAACCATGGTAGCTGAGTCGTTTATCCAACGGATTGGAATTCCACGCACGCATGCTCGCATCGCAGTTGTTGGATTAGGTGCTAACCCGGCTGGAGTTAGCCGAGGTCGCGCTAGCTTCACTTTGCTTTCAAGGACTACTACTGCCTCATTGGAAGTCTCTGGCCTAATTTTGAGTTCTCTGATTTCTTTGATCCCCTCTCAGCAGGTCAAATCCACCGCTTCTGTCTGGACCAAAATTCGCAACTTACCATTAGCTGACCCGACGTTTGGATCACCGGGAAAAATCGACGTTATTTTAGGCGCTGATCAACTGTGGAACATCTATACTGGACATCGCCGAGAGCTTGGTATTGAATACCCCTTAGCATTACATACTAATTTTGGTTGGGTCATTACAGGCAGCTATAATGATTGTGGCGAACCATTTACGAAAGCACAAGTACACCACGCTTATGAAGATTTGGATTCCCTAGCTCGCTCTTTCATGGACATGGAACAGGTGCATCCGCAGCCGAACCGCAAGGGGATTCGGCAGCAACCTTCGGCCTTGGCGAGCGCTCTGCATGCCACTGCCAGATTGGCGGCCAGTGTGGATGCCTATACGGCGGCGGCTACAGCCACAGCGGCAACCGGCGACTACGGCGATCATATTCGCCAAAATCCGAACCTCAGTCAAATCCAGCAACAGCCCCACCAGTCCCACCAGACCACCCAGCTGCACGCGCACCAACTGGGGAATCTCAGAGCGATCAATTTTCTTGGGTCGTCGCGGTACCTCTATCACAGCCAGTTCAATTCAAATTAGCCGCAAACGAGACGCTTCACTGCGCAGCGAGATGGCTCGCCAGCATTCGCGGCTTCAGCGATAGCAGCTTCATCAATCCTACCGCTTTCAGCCGCGCGGACATCAACGAAGCGCCAGCAACAGCATGTCGCAGTCCTGCGAAGATCTCCACTCGTCCTCGTATCTATCCTGGAGGAAACTTCAGCTGAGTCGGGCCAAGCTCAAGGCTTCCAGTAAGATATCAGCCATGCTCTCAGGATTTGTGGCAATGGTGGAAGTGCAACTGTATCCCGACAGAAGTGTATCACCGGGATTGCTGATAGCCTTCACTATCTGCACCACCCTCCTGGTGGCGGTGCACATGCTGGCCCTGATGATCAGCACCTGCATCCTGCCAAACATCGAGACGGTGTGTAATCTGCACAGTATTTCCCTGGTCCATGAATCTCCCACACGTCTGCATGTATATTGAAACAGCGTGGGCCGTCTCCACGCTACTGGGACTATACTCTTCCTGCAGAGATAGCCATCTTGTGTTGGGACGAGTCGTACAACTTCATCCTGGGCAGGATCAGAGGCCCCATTACGAATTTGTGCTTCCTTTGAACTGAAATTTTGACTCGATCGCAACCGCTTGTAACTGGCCCTGCTTAATAAATAGTTAATAATCGATCGCAACCGCTTGTAACTTGCTCCGCTTAATATATACGAGTATAGTTTTGTACTCGCTCGCAACCTGCACCGCTTAACATTTTGTAAACCCGCTTATAATTAAGAAATAAACTCGAATCGTAGAAAAAAGAAATACAGTCCACTTAATTCGCCAACAGGTACAATTATCTGGCCACACCCACCCATACGCCCACCAAGCTCAAAAGACCGTTTTCGCATTTTCAAGAAAACCTGATGTCTCGGAAACTATAAGTGATAGAATGAAGTGATTAAACATGTTGATTTTTATGATGCCCCAAATGCGAATTGTTTTTTTCCATCTAGCCACGCCCACCTTAACGCCCACAAAACCCGAATAACCAAAAATGCAAAGATCTAGGCTTAATACGTATTTTAGGGATGCCACTGCAACTTCCCACGGGTTTTCATTCGGCCACGCCCACTCTAACGCCCACAAACCGCGGAAAACTTTGGCGTCTATAATAATATTATGAATGCCTTCGCTTGACCTTGTTCAACTTATTTATGTTAATATCTATCGATTTACCAAAGATTTTTCAAATCGGAAAATTATTGGTAAATTATTGATTTGCTAGCCCATAAGTTTTAAGCGCTCTCGGCAATATTTCACTAACAATTTTTCGATTTTGTCATTCCGTCACCAAAAGCAATATAATTTGTTCTTGTTTCTTCTTCGAACATCATCGAACTCTTGCACTAGACGACGATTTGACGCACCCGTGTTCTAAAGTATATACACATGTCGTACTTACATATATGTTTATACGTACATTCCTTCTATATAGCCTTGACCGCCTATAATCACTTTGGGAACGTTAAAACCGTCAACCACACTTAAGGAAGCGTGGTGGCTTTCATCTCAGCTGACACCGAGTTATACCACTTCAACCTCCTTATCGACATGACAAAAAAAAACATTGAACGCCACAACCAACTTGTCGACGCTGGGTCGGGTCAGGAAACATCTTTCCGTTTCCCTATACCAGCACCAACAACAAACACACGACCCAATTTTAAGGACCACATAGAAACCACAGGACTTCTATATTCGTTCGTCCATGCAGCCGGTCTGGTGAGAAACTCATCACTTCAAAGACAAAGATAATCTTCCTAATAAAAGAAGGTATTTGTCGCCCTTCCAAGAGCCAAAACTGAATCCCAAAACAGTACCTGAGCTTTACCCAAATGCTCACATCCACAATTTTTCGGAACAGCTAAACGGGGAAAAATATTTTCGACCCTCGATCTGGTGAAAGAATACTATCAGATCTCAATGGCTGAGTGTGACATCCCTAAAACTGTCGTTTGCACCTCATATGGCCTAATAGAGTTTCTTTATATTTCGTTTGTACTAAAGAATGCCACACAAACCTTCCAAAGATTCATCGAAAGTACTTTTAGTAACGTCGAATTTGTTTATTGCTACATAAATAAACGATATCCCGGTCATGTCTACCACATTTGAGACCTTGGAGATCCTTGGCAGCATCGATATCACCAAGTGTCAACTGGGCACTGGAAAAGTGCAGCTACAATATTATCAACGAGTATGGGATTAAGCCTGCGAGTCTAGTAGAAACCATTCAAAAATAACCGTCTAAAATCATAGAACTTGGACGATTCCTTGGCATCATCAATTAGTACCGAAAATGCCTCCCTCGCTCGTCACATATTCATGCGCCACTATCAGAACTCCCAAGGAACGTTAAGAAAAACGATCATTGCTACCAGATTGTGTCGATACTATATCTAAATCTAAAATCTAAAATCTAAA